CTAAGTTGGAAGATGTCCACAAAGAAGATGAGCTAAAAGAAGAAGATATCAGAGACAAGACAAAAGAAACCTTGATAGCCCCAGCATACGCAATTCAGAAAGAAGAGGTCAGTGTACAGACACTCAACTTTATTCATCTTGTTCTTTTCTTGCCTCTCTTTTGACATGAAACTTACTTTACAAACAGCTCTCAATGGAAACTAAGACAGACAGTGCAAAGAATAATTTTGAGAAAGAGATCGTTGCTGAAGACAAAACTGTCAAGGATCTAGAACAAGCTTCCGTTGGCATGGAAGAAGCCACAACTGCAAGGGAAGAGGTGAGAATACATATGATCCTTCTTTTTAACTAGCCTTTTCATAATCTTATATGAAAACACAAATAAACTAGATATTTTGAAGAGTATACTTCAGGAAATCCACTCAAATAAGATTGACCATAAAGCGTAACAATTTTCTTTATCTCACAAGTCTGTTCAAATATGGAAAAGAACTTGGGTACTAGCAAGAGAAATGAGAATTTATGACTAGAGAAGGCAATGAAACAACTTGAATACAAAATCTAGGTTTAAGGGGTTTGAAAAAACAAAGAAACAAAGAAGTTTACTTTATCTGGTCCCTCAGTCTTTTCTCAAGGTCCCCAAATGGTGACAAAACATCGCAAGTCATAACATAGAGGGAAAAAAAACTAATAGGAAAAATCATGCTGAGCAGCTATATGTTTCATTTATATCATGAATTTAGCTTAGATATAGCAGTAATGTAACATTTGACAAACAGATTCAAGGAGAAGCAGATCCTGTAGAGAGCATAAGGACAAGAAGTTCAATTCGCGAGGACCATTTTCCAATAGAACAGCAGGACAGAGCTTTAGAAACCTCAGAGAAAGCTGAAGTAGGAGATCTGGAAACTGGAAATGCTCCAGAAATTTGTTCAGAAGCAGGAGTTGATCATGAAGCAGAGAAAAAGCCATCTAATTCAGGTGTGGGGATAACCCAGGAACCTGCATCACCAGATTCACCTAAGCTATCACCGTCTGACGGACTCCAAAGATCCACAAGAGAAAAAATGCAAGTGGCTAAAGATGTCATTCAGAAGAGGGAGCTAACAGTAAGCAAAGAAGAACCAAAGGAGGAAGAAGCAGAAGCGATTCAACTTAAAGAAGCAAAAACAGATGAAGAGAAAGATGAAGGAGAGGAAGGAGATGAACACAATAAGGCAGACTCTGGCTCAGATGCTCCTGTCATGGTAGAAGCACCTAGAGATACCGTCATTAAACCACATAAGAAATCTCATAGCATACTATCAGGTGTCGGATCAAAAGTCAAGCATTCAATTTCCAAGGTGAAGAAAGCTATTACTGGCAAATCCTCTCATTCAAAAGATCCAAAACCGATATCACCAAAGGGAATTGAAAAATGATGAGGATCACAGTTCATAGTCAGTAAAGAATCACATCACATGTTCTTATATGTTCTATAAAGGCTTGTTTTCGGTCAAATATTTTCTGATCACACTATTTTTGAGCTTGTGTGCTTTTGTTCAGCTTGAATGAGTAGTTAAATTTTTTTTTGTACAAAAATACTTGGAGAGTTATTTGATTGTTAAATATTAAGAAGTTCCAATATTTCTTTCTCTCTGCACATGCTATAATCACAAATATACAAAATTGTTTGATAATCAAAGGAAGTTAGTAGCTTTTAGGCACTCGTTCTAAACACACATTCCTGTTTACTCTCAATGGTACAAGCTCTTAACACTGATGTAATAAATGACAAACCTACAAGCTGCTTTAAGGACCCAAAACGGATTACAAAAGACTTCTTGAAACCAACTTCTAATAACTATACTTCACTTTAAGTCATGAACTTAATAAAGAAAAGATAATCCTTTTAGTTTCTTGCCTCCAATTGTCAATGAAAATTGCAGAACAAAAGCTTGCGATAGAAAACAGACTCCCTATAGACAGAATTGGAATTCTTTACCTCAAATTTTTACCTTATTCAGCATTACTCAGCATTATGATTGAATGCAACTTGAATTGGAAGGCCATATACTAGCTCAATATCTAAAATAAAATTAAGAATAAACCAAATCAATGGGAATCAACCATGCCAAAAACTAAAAATTACCCATTTCGAATTTCTTCAAAAAAGTACACATCAAACTTAATAAATTTGAGTACCATTTAACATAACAACTAAAACTGTTCCATCAAAAAACACAAAATTAAACACTACCAAGAAAGAAAAGAAACATAACAAACTTAAGAACCCATCAAGTCCATGGGGCCCCACCACTTAAAACCTCCTCCCGGGTCCACCACCTCGGCCGAACCCGATTTGAGGAACCGGAACAGCAACCGGATCAACCTTAATAAGCCCAGGAATATCAGCCATCCCAAGAACCGAAAGCATATCAAGAGTTTCCTTATCAACTTCGATTTGGTCGACCTTGATTGCAGATTCATCGGGGACGAAATCCATGCGGCGCTCGCGCTCTTCTTCTTGCAGCTTCAGAGAAATACCACGCACGGGACCCTTCTGGATACGTTTCATGAGATGGGTCGAGAAACCCGCGATCTTGTTGCGGAGCCTCTTGGATGGGATTATAGCCACTTCTTCGATGATCTTCTTGTTGGTGTGGAAATCGAGGGTCATGCGGGAGTAGTAACGCTCGATCACTTGGCGGGACGATTTCTTCACTGTCTTCGTGCGGACGCGGCCCATGGTTGGTTCTTTGGGAGGCTGTGTGCTCTGCAGATTGGAAGACAAAATTAGGGTTAGGGTTTTTTCGTTTGTGGAAGTAGGGATTTTATACACTGAGAGGATCTTTCGGGTCGGGCCTGAGGTTTATCCACGGCCCAATTGGGAATTTTGGGCCTATATCAATGTTAAGGATGTTTATAGGCTGAACTTTGATTGGCAATCTCATTCAAGCTTGACTCCTGGAGAGTTAAACCAGGCCTGTTATACTGTTAAAATAATAAAAATGTTTTAATATTAACATATTTAACAATTTTAAATTTAGTTTTCATATTTTTTTTTGGCCAGAAGAAAATATTAAATCTAGATTTAATTTAACAATTAAATTAAAAATAATATTTTTGTTTAATAAAATAATGATTTCAAGTCGAGTCTGCTCATCTTCAAATTTAAATAGGCATAATATTTAAAAAAAAATTTTAAACTATTTATAAAAATTAAAATAAGTTATTATTTTTTTATTTGCAGCTAATCAATTTTTTTTATTTTAAGTCAAATAAGTCATTATGATTAATAATTGATTAATTATCTTTAATCAAAACGTCATTTATTATTTTATATTATATAATGTTGATATATCATATCAGATAATGATATAACATGACAATATAATCTTATGATATTTTTCACTTTAATTCACAAACAGAATTAATTTTAAATATAGAAACTTAATTGAATATAATAAATAATTAGAGATTTTTTAAAATATATGCCATTTAAATATCTAATTTAAATCTTAAAGTTTATCTAGAACAAGTCATGTGTACTAGTTAAAAAAAATTGCATACATGAAATAATTCTTTTTCTTTTTTTTTTATTTTTCATCTAAAGTAAAACCCATAATAGAAATCGATTATATATTTTAAAACTTAATTGCAAACTCATTGAGGTGATTATAAGAATAATTTACTTTGATTTTGCTTGGACTAAGGTATCATTTTGGGAACATGATAAACTACAAAAAAAAAAAATGTAGAACAAGCATTAATTCTTAGTTCTTGTTTGATAAAGCTTATGTTAATTGTTATCATCACCTAAAATTTGATTCTTGTAAAGACCCTTTTGTCTCCATCATATTGAAAAAGCCACCTATTCAACTATTTCCTTTCAAGGAAAGTAATAACTTCATGAAAAGCACAGTGGAGCACTAGTATTTAAGTTGGCTCTAGTTTTCTCAGCAAGTCCCTTCCAGGCTTCTTCTAGGACTAGATTCTATGGCTACCAAGATGTTTGTTTTGCTGCTCATTTTGGCTGTTCTAAGCAGCCATTGCTATTCTGGCAGCATCTCCATTTACTGGGGACAAAATCAGCAGGAAGGAACGCTAGCTGACACATGCAAGACTGGGAGATTTGAGTACGTTATTATAAGCTTTCTCTGTGTATTTGGCAATAACCAAACTCCTCAGCTCGACCTGGATGAACATTGTGATCCTTCTACCAAGGGGTGCGTTGGCTTAGCTGACGATATTCGGTCTTGCCAAAGCAGAGGTGTTAAGGTGTTGCTGTCCATCGGAGGTGGGGATGGTGTCTACATCCTTGTGTCGTCGGAAGAGGCGAAGGGGTTTGCTGACTACCTTTGGAACAATTATTTGGGTGGAAACTCCACAGATAGACCTTTCGGAGATGCTGTGCTGGATGGAATTGATTTTGATATTGAAGATGGAAGCCCTAGTCACTATGATGAACTAGCAGGGTAATGTGCACGGTGGCAAAGAGTCTGGATACATGTTTAGTATCACAGTCCGCACCAACTTATAAAGTATTATCCGTTTTAACTTTTTGAGTATTCACGGTTTTATATCACAGAAAAAATCAAGTTGAAGATGATATCAATACTGAAAAATATATAATTATATTATAATACACAATTAATATAAGATTCATAATTTTTTTTTAAGATCGTGACATTTAATACCTTGCTTAATTACAATAAAAAATGTTGTAATTATCTTATCTCACACATATGTGAATCTCATTTACAGGAGTAACATATAACTTGCATATATACTTATGTTTTTCATGGTCTACTTGCAACACATGCACTTGAAGAACTACACCTCGGAGAAGAAGGTTTACCTGACAGCAGCACCACAATGTCCCTTTCCAGACGTGTACGTAGGGCAAGCCTTAGAAACAGGACTCTTTGATTACGTGTGGATGCAGTTCTACAACAATGACTGCGAATACAAAGGCAATGCTTCCGACGTGAAGGCAACTTTCGATGAATGGAGCAACGGTGTACCAGCAACCAAGTTCTTCCTGGGGCTCCCGGCCGCTCCTAGCGGCGCCAACAGCGGTTTCATCCCTCAGAATGTTCTGATATCACAGATTCTGCCTCTGATCAAGAAGGCCAACAAGTATGGAGGTGTGATGCTGTGGTCTAAATACTATGATGATCTAACAGGGTACAGTTCCTCCATCAAGAGCCATGTCTGATATTAATTTGTTTCAGTTTGTCCAAAGTCATTAAACATTGCACATAAAGGCCCCGAGGCTGTAACTCTTTGTCGTCTTCATTCTATTGTCACTGCTTGCCTTGCTGATATTGAACTCTCTCCATGGGTTATACCCATGGCTTTACATGTAAGATAATGCTGTGTTGGTTTACATCAACACTAATTTAATGGGAACACATAAAAATTGTAGTAATTAGTCTTAGCATGGTTACTTTAACCACCAAGTTTTAGATAAAGTTCATCGGATTCTGTTTCTTTCCCATTGTTGGGAAAATGGAAAATTGGAAATATGGGGGTTTTTTTATATTCAAATATAAATAAAATCATACATAACTTGGCAAAATTTTAGCCAATCACAAGACTAATTGGCAAAATGACTTACAAACACTAGCTCTGTAACCAAGCAATATTACAAAAATCACGAAATTTAAGCTCTTTTATGCTTCTTCTCAGATTTCTGAGCTGCTTCAGTATTCCTCTTTCGCTCCTTGAGTTTTTCAACATGATCCTTCTTCCGTTGCTTGTGCATCTGATGGAAGAAAAACACATTCAAGTCAACATCAAAGACGAAATCCCAGCAATATACCACAGGGGCTATTAAAACCTTTTAGTAGCAATTTTAACCATCACCCCCTCTCCTATCCTTTTTCTCCAAAGGGAATTGTTTACTAGAAACTACTATGATGGAATCCATATCAAACAAATGGCAGACTTTCCAATCATTCAAACTTGGTCGAAAGAAGTAAAGCTATGACAACAGGAAATTCAGGTGTTCAGGGCAGAAAAAACCTTATGTACCAGACCAATACCCCTTTCAATCATGCACACTCGAGTAAAACTTGTTTTGTTGAAGAATTAATTCTCTTTTCTTTTTGGAGTACTGCAGCATTGCATGTCAAACAAGAAAAGACAATGAAGCATAACAAGGCCAACAAAGTTACCTCAATGGCTTTAGCAAGGCCCCTCTTTTTACGTGACATCATGAGTCTTGACAGATCCTCGGAATCCATGGCACTTTGTTGCACATCACGAAGCAATTCTTCCTTAGACTCCATGTCCTCTGCAGAGCTCTGCTTATTTATACTTGATACACCCTGAAGTTCCATTTTCAAATCATCATGATACTGCTTCTCCAGAAGCATCATCTGCAACCAATCGAAAACTTGATGTAGTCAGTAGGGGCAACCATGAACATCATTGGATCTTCCCAAGTAGAAGCAATATAATTTTAGAAACTCTATTGTATATTGAGTTGCCATATGCCCAAAGCCCCAGTCACATACCTTTTGCTTCTTCTCAGCAGCTTCCATAGCCTCTGTTCTACTGATATACCCTTCAGCCAACATATTTTGAGAGTTATCCAAGACATCATTTCCCATACCAGGAAACGGTTGAACATCATTTTTTGCAGCAGCCTGTAGTTCTTTAATGGTCTTGGCATAATCAGGAACATAACCTTCAGCCTCATTATCAACAAAAGGTGATAGATGTGGAGGTGGATCCCTGTTGGCAGGAAAACAGCAATATCAAATGCCGATGGCATTGACATAGCAAGACAATTTTTCATCTTCAATTGCAATTAAATAATTCATATTGAGTGATTCAGACCTCCAAATTATTCCAAGTTTATCCTCATGACCTATGATACATATGCAGTCCGTGCAAATGAAGTTACCATATTAGAAAATGAGAACTGCATGCCATTCATTCTATCATACCCAAAGCAATGAAGTCCAACACTTGGAGATCAAACAGATATTTCAAGAGTAAGTTACCAAGATTTACCTCCCAACCATATATGCCTCAGTTGGCAAGATGATCCGTGCATTTAAAGAGTCATAAATCCACTGAGGTTGAACATATTCTCTTGAAAGATATACATGACCCTGGGTTGGTCTGTCGACAATCTACACAAACAAAAGCAATCACTAAAAATTGAAACCCCTAGAACCAAAATTCATAGATAATGCAAATCTGACACATGGCGCTTTTATTGGCGCACCTGATGAGTAATGCTGCCATCAGCTTCCGCAAATGGAGCTCCATCTCCTTCCCAGGAAACAATACCTCCAAAAGCAGGAATGACAAAAAGCAAAGACTCTCTCGGAACCTAACCATATAGAGTATTAGGCACCATTCCAATAGAAATCAACTGATAAAGAAATGGAAGCCACTTATTGTACTGTAATTGCAATGTTCATCAAACTGAAACAAAATTAGTATTTAATAAAAGGGAACAGCAATCCTACACTGACATGCAAGGAACAATTAATCTCACCTCACGACTCAAGAAAATTTTCATATTTTGGAAAAGTTTTTTGCAGTCCCTTGTAGCTTCATCTTCTTCAGTTTCAATAGCTGCACCTTGAACAAGGTGCATCAGTGCACCAGGTTCATTTGCAGGCAGTTGATGCTGAAGTTGAGCAAGTCTTAAGTTAGACTCCTCCTGCTCTTGCTCCGATATAGACGAACCAGCAACTTGAGGTTCTTGTAAAGAGGTTTTATAGTTAGCATCAAAATACCTTGACAATGCATAGAGATCTGCAGTATTCAAGAAACACAAAATTGCTATTATCATCAGCAGCCAAGAGGAAGAAATTTACAAGATTCGTTCACAGTCACCACTTAAAATTGCATATAACTCTGAAAAGAACACGTAAGTTTCATTACAAAACGCAAAGCAATAAACAAACCTGCTGCCAGAGCTTCCAACCGAGGATCAAGAATAGGAGGATACTTCACATTTATAGAATGATAAAGTTGAAAATTGACAAAACCAAGAAGTGCCTGCACACAAAGCAAATATATGCAAAAGAAATAAAGCAATTCAGTTGAAGTAACTAGCAGAAAACAGCATAGCAGGGGATTAAGTACCTTGAAACAATGGACCTAAACTGAAGTGAGAAAGTAGCAATAAAATATCAAATTTCATGAGGAGTAAATTGATAGACAATTTAAATTTTAAATAAAAAGCAACAACAGCTCTTCTATTTATGCTTGGCTAGGGCTTATTTTGCCCATTTTTCTCAGACTTTACGAGAAACTTCCTCCATTCTATCTATGAAAGTCATCACTAACAATAAAAAGTCTACATCTGTATAAAAAAATTAGAACACGTGTGAGAGAGATGTAACCTCATAGAATTCCAAAAATGTTAACATAACATTGAAGTCAACATCATCGGTCAATACTTGTTGCCGTGCATGTGGCGCTAACCATGTGATTTTTTGACCCTCAACCTCAGCCTGCACAGGACAGAGAGTCATCTTGAGCAACATGCATTACAGAAACAGTAACAGCAAGAGCATGATAGCAGAAGCAGGAATTTCAACAAAAGAAAGTTGTAGTACCTGATAATATATACCCTTTACAGCCACAAAAACCTTCCGTAATTTATGAGTACGAGAAATATAGGCTTGCCACTCATGACACAACCTGACAAAAGACCAAGAATAGCAAGATAAGGACGCAACCGATCAGCTGATAGAAGTAAGGTAACCTTACAATCTCCCTCTTCCCTTTTGTCCTTCTCCTCAATAAAAAATCAGATCTACCTACCTTCGACAATTATGGATGCGCTTCACTTCAATTTTCAGCCTATCAATGGCAGGCAACATTGCAAACAGGTGCACCATTGTAAGAGGGTCATCCAAGTCTCTAAGCGCATCAACAAATGTTGGATACCTAAAATCCCAAACATTACTTCAATACTCAAGAACTCATACAACTACCACTGACTGGAAATAAGAAAAAAAAAAAGTACACAGATGGTTTAACAAACCTATCCCGGATGACCATATCAAGCTTGTAAGAAGGTGCCCGAGATAGAAGAAGTCTCGCTAACTCATCATTCTTTTTCGCTTTAGCTTTCTTTATCTTCTTTTTATATGCCCTTATTTCTCTAAACTTCTCGAGTAATGGATCGTGAAGAATGTACATAACATCCTTCAAGTGATAGTATGTATGATGGTTCCCTTTCACCTTCTTCTTCGGCTCCCTTGGAAAAACTCCTTTGTGAATGCATAATTTCCTACAATACCAAATCCATTAAAAAGAATGAACATATCCAACACTTTTGAATTGGATACAAAATTACATGCACAATCAGAATAACTCCAAAGCTTCTTCCGTTTTGCAAGCATTTCACTCTAAAACTTAAAAATTAAATAATCTGGGTTTCATAAGGTTATGGACTTTTGCTAAATACAGTAATTATCTCAGACAGAAGAAAAATTATACTCAAAAACAAGTTAAAACTGCTTCAAGAATGTTTGCCAAATACACTTCTTCTTTTTGCTTCCGTGAGCAAAAAGCAAGTAGCAAACTTAACAACCAACTAAAGAACTAAGCTCAGCTTAATAACAACTTCACACGCTTAGCTAATTAACCTTTGAAGCTAAAAATAATGTTGAAAAAAAGCATAAATAAGGTAAATAACCGAAGCTTAAATGCATCCTTCGAAAAAGAATTAAAAAAAAAACAATATAAGAAGTGTGGAAGAAGAGATGAACCTGAAATCTGAGAGGCTGACTTGAAGGAGTTTAATCGCTTGTGACCTCGTCACGTATCTCGCAGCATTTCCTTCCTTCTTCTTTCCCTGTACAATTCAACGAGAAATTGAGAGAAAAAACCCCAAAAAAAAAAAGCAGAAATTCAAAATTTTGAATTGCGAATTTGAAGTTATCGTTTAAGGGGAGAGAACTTGCCGGCGGTCGATAGTGCTTCGGCTTCCCCATCGCTGTAAAGAGAAGTTACAAACTGAGAAGGCGAAAAACTGGGAGAGGCGGAGAAAGGAAGATGACTAGGGTTTAAGTTAATATAGGATCCGACCCGGTTTGGAAATGGTAGGTTGATCGCTCTCCGAGTTGGGTTTCATGTTTGGTGGGCTTGCGTTTGGTTGCAAAGTTGCAATTGTGTGGGCCAGATTGTTTTGGACTAATTCGTTGACTATGTTAAATTGGGTTGGGATTAGTGGGCTTGTGTTAAATTTTCCCAGTTATTTTTTCTAATTGAATATTTTATTTGACAAATAAATTACGATGAATTTCGATTTATGATCAAATAAATACTCGATTTAGATCTAAGATTTAATTTTAGGATTCAATATATATATATATATATATATTTCAAATTAGAATGCAGAATAAAGGTTTTGTTTTGATTAAATTAATTTATGATGGAAAAATGGAAAAAAAGTAAACAAATTTAATCGTACTGACAAAAAATAATATGGGAGTTATAAAGTGGTGTTCGTTCTAAAGTGTTGTTATAGGTGGAATCAAGGTTTTAAGTTTGAAGAGATGAAAATGAAAATTTTAATATTTAAAAGAAAGAAATTATAAAATTTTTAAAAAATAAAAAATTAAATTTTAAAATTAAATTAAATAATATATATTTTAAAATTTTACCCAAAAACAATTGTAGGCAACCTAAGTCGAGAGTTGACTGCATGCTGCTAGTTTAGCAATACTTGCTCTCATTAATTTCTAGGTTATATTTATTCTAGATTGGTTTTTATTATGGTCATAATAGTTTGGAATAGAAAACCAAAACAAAATAAAAAAAGAGAAGAAGAAAAAATTTAGGTTAAAATTATAAACCATTTAAAATTCTTTTACAAGAATATGTATTCATAAAATTTATTTACAAATACAAAGACAACAATAATAATTGGCAAAATAAGATAGAATAAGTCTAATTATAAAAAATAAATAAAATTTCCTAATTATTTAAAAATAAATCTTTTAAATGAAATTTTTAAAGAAAGTTATAAGTAGTGATTTTCTTGAATTTTTCAAAGTGACAATAAGTATGAGACTTCGTCATAAGTATCGAGAGGTGATCTCATAATTAATTTTTATAAAGAGGTTAATTTATAAATGATTATCTTAAACATAAAATAATAAATAAATATTTTAAAAAATTTTAAATTAAAATATAATATCATAATATTTGTAAAAAATAAATAAATAAAAGTTCTCTAATGATGCAATATCTAGAAAATTATAAATAGTAATTTCAAGAGAATTTCTAAGTAAGGAAATTTCCTAAAATTTTGCTTGAGCATTGGAAAATTTTCAACAGAAGAATTTACATAAATAATAACACAAAAATAATAAAGATAACAAACAATTTAAAAGGATGTATAAAAGAAATATAAATAAATAAAAATTCTCTGATGATGAAATCTTAAAAAATTAATAATTTCGAGAGAATTTATAAGTGAAAATTTTCTAAAATTTTGTCAAAAGTATTGGAAAATTTTGGAAGATTATCAACACGAGGAATTGCATGGTAACAATAATAAAAAAATAACAAAAGTGAAATAAATAAAAGAACGTATAGATAAAAAACATAAATAAGTAAAAATTATCTTATGATGAAATTTTGAAAAGGTTATAAATAATATCTTTGAGACAATTTTTAGTGATAGATTTTTCTTGAATTTGCCATGGGTATTGAAATGTTCAAAAACATTTTGATATCAAAGGATTTTTATTTATTTTAAAATGATAAAATAAAATTAACTTGAATATTGAAATAAAGTTAACTTATTAAGGCTAAAAAGGTAACACATAATTAATTAGCTACAATTTTGAATGAGAGGGCGCTAATATCTCCCTCACACATAATTGTACATCCAAGCTTAATCTACTTCGTAGATCTGAATATATTCTTTTTAATGAACTTAAATCAAGCTTAATACTTCATTTTAAAAAATAGATTTATCCAGATGACTAATAACACCTAAATAAAAAAATTTATTGACCACTCCTCTTACGTTAAACGATTGAATTACAAGACTCATACATTATGACATCTAACCTTCTGTAATCTAGGCCTAATATATAAAAACCCTTTTGGTAATAAACTTGCTTAATGAAATAGATACATGATTTTAATTACTCCCTTAGTTTCTTACAATTTTGGATTCAATTTGATGAGTCAAGAAAGAATTTTCCCTAAGTTCATCCCTACAAGTTTATTTGATCAATGCTAGCACTTGTTATAACAATTATATACAATCTAAATCATCCAAAATATAATAATTAATAACAATAATAAAATTATACAATTTCGTAAGAGTGTCTTGCTACAAGAATATGCATACTATATAAGAAATCAATGCCTCTCTTTGCAATAGGTGCACCAAGCTTAAGACAAATAAATTAAAGGCATAATATACAAAAAAAAATTAAACTATTTAAGAAAATTCAAAGAAGTCCATATACTGTTATTGCGTTCAATTAAGTTTTTATATTTTTATTTTGAGCCAAATAAATCTTTATGTTTTTTATTTTGAGTCAAATAGGATCTTATAACTAATTATTGATTTAATCAAAATGTTATTTGCTACTTTATGTAGCATAATACTGATGTGGTATGTTAAAATATTATAATAGATTATGATATAGCATACTAACATATCATAATTGATAATAACATGTTAATTTGGTATAATAATATAATAATATGATATTTTTTACCTTTTAAATTAATATCATATTAATACCATGTGGATATAAAATGACAAATGGTATTTTTACTAATGACATATAGTCAATTATTAGCAATAAAGGCTTATTGTAAAATTACAAAAATATATATGTATTCATAAAATTTATTTACAAATACAAAGAAAACAATTATAATTGGTAAGATAGGATAGAATAAGTCAAGTTATAAAAGATAAATAAAATTTCCTAATTATTTAAAAATAAATATTTTAAATGAAAATTTTCTTCAAATTTTCAAAATAAGAATAATTATGAAACTAGGCCATAAGTATTGGGAGGTACTCATAATTAATTTTTACAAAGTGGTTTATTTATAAATGATTATTATAAACATAAAATAATAATAAATATTCAAAATGTTTGTAAATTAAAATAGAATATCATAATATTCATAAAAATAAATAAATAAACAAAAATTCTCTAATAATGAAATCTCAATAAAGTTATAAGAAGTAATTTCGAGGTAATTTCTAGATAAAAAAATTTCCTAAAATTTTACTATAAGTATTGGTGGAGTCAAGATTTTAGGTTTGAGAAGGCGAAAATGAAAAATTTAATATTTAAAGAGATGAAATTATAAAATTTTTTAAAAATAAAAGTAAAATTTTAAAATAAAACAAAAAAATAAATTTTTGAAAGTTTGGGAGGTAGGGGTCCTACTAGCTGGAAAATTTTCAATATAAGAATTTACATAAATAATAACAATAAAATAATAAAGATAATAATTAAATTTAAAAATATATTAAAGAAATATAAATAAATAAAAATTCTCCGATTACACAATCTTAAGAAAGTTATAAGTAACAATTTCAAAAGAATTTTTAAGTAAGGAAAATTTTTAAAATTTTCCCAAAAGTATTGAATGATAACAATAATAACAAAATAATAAAAATCAAATAAATAAAAAATATATAAATAAAAAACATAAATAAGTAAAATTCACCTATGATGAAATTTTGAGAAGGTTATAAATAACAACTTTGAGAAAATTTATTGTGAGAGATTTTTCTTGAATTTTATCGTAAGTATTGGAGTATTCAAGAAATATTTCGATATCAAAAGATTTTTATTTGTTTTAAAGTGATAAAATAAAATAATAAAATAATTAAAGAAAATTAACTTGAATATCAAAATAAAATTAATTTATTAAGACTAAAAAGATAACACACAATTAATTAAGTACAATTTTGAACCAGCATTCTGAAGGTACTTGACACCTCATTTAAGGAAAAAGTTTTTGTTATAAGATATTTTATATTGCATTTATTTTAATGTGGATATTAATTTAATAGTTTTTATACTAAAAAGTGAGAAAAAAAAAGGAAATAAAATTTAATATGTTATTATGTTAAGAAACCAGACTCGTCTATTTATACCTTAATCTTTCTTAATCATCACCTACGTACTCCTCACGTAATTGCAAATCTAATTCCTCCTTTTTTTTCCACATTATATGAAAAATAAAGGAAATAAATCAAAAGGCAATATTGGATGTTGTAAATATTTTTGCACCTCTGATAATATCAAGGATTCTTTAATATGATGATTGTTTTGTCACACCATTTAGGGTGTAAACAAAAGTTAACTTATTTAGATAAATTTATTAAGTCTTAAATTTTTATTTTGAATTAAATAAGTAAAAATTAATCAATGCTACACATAACATTTTTATACCACGTGTAGAATTTTTATTACAAGCTTAAGTTTCGATCTAAAAATTTAACTTATTTAGATAAGTTAATATCATTCTCGTATACGTCTGAGGTCATGTGACACATGCACTAACTATGAATTAAATCCTAATATGCTTAAATATATCTACTTGTTATAAGATTGTGTGCCTACAATATAATGTATGTATAATGTTGATAAAGTTTAAATTATATGAAACTAAAATTCTTCAAAACCTTATTCATTTGGCATTATACCAACTAGAGAGGAGGGGTTTTTCCATAATGCTCTGTAGTAAAACAAGTTGGGTTCTAAATTCAGTACATATCAACATTAAAACACTTGGTTTGAGTGAGTCACAAATCTAATCAAATTAAATTATTTTTTTGTAAACAAATAAGTATGTTTAAAATAAAAATATATAATAACTAAATTAAACGTAATAAAAAATAAAAATTAATTTTAATTTTTTTAAATTATTTTAAAATTTTTTCAAACATTATATCAAATAAAAAATTTTCAACTTATCTAAATCGACAATAATCAAGCCTAATCCAATCAAATTTAATTACTTAATAATTACTCAATAGAATTAAAAGTAAAATTTTA